CAAGACCTAATTTGAGTCATGCATATAGTCTTGTAAATAGATTTATGACTAATCGTATGATGGCTCATTGACAAGCCATAAAGATGATACTCAGGTGTATTTAGAAAATTAAAAACTACAAATATCCTTTCAATGTGATAATTTAGAGTTTATTGGGTGCTCTGATTCAGACTTTGTAGGAGACCTAGATGATAAAAATCAACCTTATGACATGTATTTCTCGTTGGAGGTTGATGTGCTTATTGGTCAAGTAAGAAATACGGTTGTGCAGCTCAATATATTATAGAAGGCACTATTACAATTTATGTGTCTGGATTAAACACTTCATAAAGGATTTGAAGCTGGATATAGCCGACAGACCAATTAATTGTTTTTTGTGATAATCAGATTGGCATCTTAGTAATTAAGAATAGAGCCTATAGCTCCATGGGCAAGCACATTGAAGTTGACTATCATTATATTTATGATATTATTGAAAAGAATGAAGTAACTTTAGGTTATATATTAGTTGATATGATTGAAGACCCTTTGAAAAAGGGATTAAGTATTGATTTTTTTTCAAAGCATGTAATTTTGATGGGGCTTAGGAACATCTAATGTCAGGAACTCTCACAAAAGAAATTTTTAGATATCTTGGTCATAAGAGAAAAAACCACATTAGCGTAAAAAGCTACATACGCTCCAACATCTCCCACTTTTAGATTCTATTTTACGAACTTCCATCAACAATATTGGCTGCATTAAATACTCTTTTTTTCTTTCTTTTTGAATTTCTAACAATCCTTATTGACATCCCCTTTTTATTTGGGTAACAGCAATGAATGCTATCTGTTTTTTATCTGGATCTAGATATGGACATGCCTTGACTTTCACATCCTTTTTAACTTCTCTCAACAGATCTCTCTCTAGACACTAAACCATTTCCATATGCCTGGGCATTACCATGTCTCTTCCTCAAGCCATTCAAGAGAAGAGTTGAAGTCCTATCCTTCATCTCTATGATCTTTTTCATAAGCAATGTCATGACAAGATGCGCATAGATTGAGGGAGAGAAGACAACAAGATTATAGTCTTATCCTCATCATCTATCTTAACACCAATGCTTAATAATTAACTATTAATTTTATTAAATTACTTGTGTAGGGTGTATAACTATTTCTTCAAATACAATGATTTGTATGGAACTTTGTCATGTACAAACTCACAAGCTTTGACCAAAGACTTGATATCAAATCATCGTTGACACAATCGAATAGTGCTCATATCTTTCAGATCGAAGTCTTCTTAGTCCTCATTTGACATGGATTCCAGTTTTTTCGACTTTCCTTTCAATGCTTCATGGAATCCTTTTTGCACTAGCAAATCCCGAATATTGATTTATCAAATTTCGAAATTATTGTGCCATCAAATGTCTCTACCTCAAACTTGGCTTTTAAAACCTTTACTACCGACAACCCCAAACTAAGTTCTGATACTTAATGGGTTGATTTTTGACAAATAAAGCGCGAAAAATTAGAATTGGCAACAAGCAAACAACAAGAAAGAAAAATAAAGTAGGAAAAAATAATACAAAAAGAACAATATAATTTTATATGGTTCGTCACAGATGTGACTATATCTATCGATGATTTTTTTACTAATCAATGAAAGAAAATTATAAGATAATATTTACCTGAGAGAGCCAGAGACCAACTCAATCTCTCACAAAGCCTCTCTTTCTTTGTTATTTTCTCTCTCTATACAACCAAAATTTCTCTTCTTTTCATATTTCTTTGCAATTTTCTCTCTCTATACAACCCAAATTTCCCTTCTTTTCAAATTCTCTCTATTCCTGTCTCTTCAAATGCAACTTAATACATAAAGAAAATAAAAACCCAAAGAACCCTTGTGAAACCAGCTTCCCTAAATTTTAGGATTCTAAATATTATACCCTCAAATACTAACTCACATAATATCCTAATCCAAGTAGGACTTACCCATAATAAACTAAAAGATAGTACATCAGTTAAACACAAACCCTAAATAATAGGAAACATCCTTACCAACTAGGAGACCCAAAAATATTGGAGAGACTAATCTTGTAAAATTCAACACAACACAACAATAATAATATGCATGTACAAGGGAGAATTGCTAGCAACCAAATGGGAAGAGAGATATGCTGCATAGACACCTCTGACACACAAGTTCCACAAATACCAATATCAAGCATGACACATTTGTACACCATTTAAAAAGAGAAAGGTGATGTTCTGGTAGGGGTGGCAATTGACACCTCTGACACACAAGTTCCACAAATACCAATATCAAGCATGACACATTTGTACACCATTTAAAAAGAGAAAGGTGATGTTCTGGTAGGGGTGGCAATTGACCTGGCCCAAACCGGGTCCAAGTCCATGTTTTGGACCCAATGGTTTGGGTCCTTGTCCAAGTGTTTGGACGCGACCCGGTATAAAGTATATACAAAAAAATATATACAATACTATATAAATTATTTTTTATTTTTAAAATTTCTAGACTGGGGTTTGGGTTCATGTAAAGCCTACTGGATGTTTGGCCTAGTCGATCCGGCCCTAGACCCAACCCGTTGCCACCCTTAAGAATATATGAAAGCATAATAGATCCCAGTCCTAGTCGACCCAGCCCTAGACCCGACCCGTTGCCACCCTTATGTTCTGGGTGGTACTTAATAATTTATTGTAAAATTTCAAAGAAAAAGAATTTAAAAAATATTAAAGTCTCTAAATGATAGATATAAATGACAGTGTTCTTTGTCATTAATATATCTACACACACGTGCCGATGGTACATAGGGGTAGAGAGTTGCCCGCCATCAACGGGGATAGAGAAGGAAAGAGTCTCCACAAGACCCAGACCCATGGAAACAAAAAGAGTTGCCATTATTATGAAGGACTTCAAGAAATCAATTTTCATAACTACTCTCAACCCATTTTCCCTGCGAGAATCCACTCATAATCATAACATGGTCAACTTTTATCTTGAGATAGACTTTGAAATTGCCTATTCACTCTAAAGATCTCTTCGTTATGTCAAAAAAAGAATTTTCCATTCTATTTTACTTGATTTGGTGAAGATTAGTTCCAATAAATTGAGCTTTACCAATTCATTGGTGTTTTTATAAATTAAGTTAGAATATGATCAGCTGTTGGTATGAGAGGTAAGTGAAGCAACTTCATTGGATATCAAATCCTTGGCTGAACCGATTTTGGTCCGAGCATATGTTTCGGACCGAAACGGAATTATGATACTAAACTGAAACAGAATTATGATACTAAACTGAATAACTGTACTGATGAAGTTTTCAGATGGACGGTTAAGATATTCCTTACATCCAAGGGCCCGTTCTCGATCGTCCATATGAAGAATGGGAGTACACGTTTGTTTTTTAGTTCAACTAGTGTAGAACGGCTCAGCCCCGGAGTCCAGCCTTGGGATGGGCAGAGTCTGAGTAACTTGGCCCAAGTTGGGTAGTCTTGGGCAGGCCAAAAAAATTTTAAAAATAAAAAATATACAAAGTCTCAAAATTTATAAAAAATATGTTAAAAAACAATCAAACAAAACACATCCAAATAAGGTTAAAATATAATAGAAAAATAGATTTTTAAAAAAATCAATTTGTGACTCACGGCATTTCAGAAATGATCTAAAAAAAGGTAAAGCTATAAAAATAGAAAAAGTCTTCCCAACGTCTATAGCAAAAATAAATAGTGATTTTGTCAACCCTCATCACCGTCCAAATTTCATCGTATGGTCACGATTGTCCAGTAATGTTTCATTTTTCATTTTTTTTCTACAAATCGAAATAACCTAAAATTTGGAGCGTATGTACATCATAGTGAGACGGGCCTAATAAAAATATAAAAAAAAAATTAAAAAAAATAATATTGACCAAAAGACCCCTGAAACTTTTCGGGGGTATTTTGGATAATTTGTTTCATGTAAAATATTTGTTTGATATTTTTCGTAGATTCACCTATTTTTTATAAACATTCGCTCCAAATTTCAGATCATTTTAATTTGTAAAAAAAATAAAAAATAAAATAGTACTAGACAATCGTGACCTTGTGATGAACTTTAGATGGTGATAAAGGTAGGCGAAATCACTGTTCATTTTCAACTATAAGCGTTTTGTAGTATCTTTTATAAAAATATGTGCCCAATACACTTCCCAATTTTAACCAAAACAATGGAAAACACAGAAATGCATACTACATATCAATTTATTACTTTTTCTTGAATTTTTCATAATTTATTTTAAAAAATTTTATGATCCCAAACTTGACCGCCAAAACCGGGATGGAGTCGTTAGGGGGCAAGCCCGAGTTGTTCCGACGAGTCCATAATGGCCGGCCGGAGTAGTGGAAGACTTTAAAAGATGTACGAATGATAGTAATGTTTATTTTATTATAAAACCAGTACTTCTAGATCTATTTGAGTTTGTTTTAATGCTTTTAGAAATTTTGTTTTTTTTTAATATATATATATATATATATAGGTGGACAGCTGCCAACTCAGCCAGTTTTCCTCTGAACTCGTGGGTTGCAGGTTTTAAAACGCTGACTTCTACTTCTTACTTGGAGGAACTGATAACTATTGAGTCCATTCGTAATATGTAGAGAGAGAGAGAAAGCCAAGGGAGAATTCACCTCTAAACTTAAGAAAGGCAATAGTGATTTGACCTTAAAATTTTAGGTAAAATATGAAATGTTTCGGCAAAAATTACAAAAGAAAGTTGGTCAATTTATTTATTTTTTTTAAATTATCTATTGGTCAATCTGAATTTTGATTTTTTTTGTTCAGTTTTTTTTTAGTCTTTTGATCGAAAAACAATTTTGAAAAAAATATAAAAAAAAGGTTAACCGAATTTCTTTTGTCATTTGTGAAACATTTTGTATTTTATCTAAAATTTCAAACTCAATGCAATACAATGCCATTTACAGCAAGAGACCCCTATGAGGAATCAAATTATCCAATTTTTAAAAAGAACAAACATCCAAATTATAGTTTTATTTACACAAGAAACAACCATATCCTCACAAATTCCAAATAAAAATAATATAATTGAGAGAGAGAAACAGAGACTTCTGTTTAATTATTGAGATCAAATAGGTCCCAACTTAGAGAGAGAGAGAGAGAGAGAGAGAGAGGATTCAAAGTGTTAAGCCAAGAGCCAGAAATTCTTCTGCCTTCTGGTGGTGATGAGATAACCCCCAACTTTTCTACCCTTTCTTCTGACTGCTACAGTCAAGCAATCTGCATTTTGAATACAATAATCAACAACACCCAAACCTCCATTCCTGTTGTTGTTGTTTCTTGTTCCTGCCCAATTCAGAAGAAGCCTCCACATGACAATGGGTCTCTTCTTTTGCCCCAAAACTAAGAGAGAGACCCCCTCCCTCTTTGCCTCTGCAATTATGGTTGCTCCTTTCTCTCTCCCCTCTAACACTACAACCTCCACTTTTAGCTGCACATTTTCATCAAAAACCATATGATCAGTACCCCTCTCTCTCTCTGTCTCTGTCTCTCTTGCTCACAACATCGAAATCGACGAAAACATACCTCGGGTTTTCTTATCAGGCAGAGATTCTTCAGTGAATTTGGGAGCTCGTAATTCTTGGGATTCATTTCCATCTTTGTTTCCTCACCTGTGAATTCAGTTTAACATGGATGTGAGAGAGAGAGAGAGAGAGGGACCCAAGTATCAAAATTGAGAGAGAGATAAAGAGAGAGATCACCTTGCTTGGAAGGCTTCAAAACATGGAGAAGAATCAGAGTGTCGTCGCTCTGAACAGAGTGTGACAACGCCCATTGAAGAGCCCCCTTTGCTTCGGGGCTCGAATCGACAACGATCATAATCGTTCTCCCAAAACCCACCTCAGTTTTCTCCTTGGAATCACCATTTTTGGCCTTTAAATCCCCATTTTGGGCCTGAAAGTCTCCATTTCTCTTCTCAGGAGTCTCCCTCTTGCGCAAGCACTCTGCAACTTGCTCTGTTTTAATTGAATCTGAGATGGGTTTCTCATCTTGTGGTGGTGGCCTCACTCTAACATGCGTTGAAATTCTGTTAAGGCAAAAGCCAGGAAGCTTGACGCTTGTTCTACCCATCTCTAAGGCTACGCCTCCTCAAAGTTCAGCTTTAATGGCGACGACAGCTTAGAGAGAGAAAAGTTCCCTGTAATAAAAAGAAGAGGGACAAGGCCCACAATTGCCTGGTTGGTGTTGGTCCACCATGTTTGCATTGCATTACTCTTCTCCTCTCTCTCTCTTCTCACCAGCATTCCTAGAAGTCTTCCTCTCTCTCTCTCTTCTCACCAGCATTCCTAGAAGTCTTCCTCTCTCTCTCTCTCTCCTCTCCGCCATTCATGTGAGTCTTCATGCTTTTCTCACTCTTCATCTTTTTCTACGTGTGTTGTTCTTTCTTTCTCTCTCATGAAATCATCTGTCTTTTTTGTTCTCTCTCTCTCCTTTTTCTTAATGTGGGCTCGACCAATTACTACCTCTACGTGCTGAGCACCAAGCTCATTATATGCAAGAAATGATATGGCTTTTAATGCTTTTTTTTTTTTTTAACAATTGTTTTATGGGTGAGGTTTGTATAGAGCTTAGGCTCTAAACAATCAAATTAGAGACTACCTTCAAATAGTATCGAGAATTGTGGTTTAAATATTGAAAATCTTTGTAATAGCCTTAAAATATATTTTCATTTTTATTTATAAAGTTTAAAGCTTAAAAAATAGTGGAGATCCATATATCTATGAGAACTTGAAAATCTTGAAAATTGACGGTCTAAAAATGCATTACAAGATACACTATTTTCAAAACTTTTCAATCCATTTGTTTCTCATGGACATGCATCTTGATGTCAAGATGATCAATTTGAAAATATTTAAGCATCAAAACAATATCTTTTAGTGAAATTTTTGAAGTAAGTTCAAATTTGATTGTTTAGAGCCTTGGCTCTATATAAACTTTTCCCTTGTTTTATTATTATTTATTATAAAGTAATAAATAAAGAAAATGGTTTGATAGGGCTGCAACCAAAATAAGTAAAGCATCACCTCATAAATCCTCAAATATTGCAATTCAAGTGTTGAAAAACCTTTAAATCGATCACCCCAGCTTAAACATTATGGTTGTGCAAAACAATTAGGATTTTAAATTCTAAAAATAGTGAATATTGCAACAATTCATCTAGACTATCCATTCGGCCTTAAAAATAAAGTGTTGGAATTTGATTTTTTGAGTTTCAGATTGTATTGTCGGTGTTCGAATTTGATTTTAGAGCCATCGTGAAGAATTTCGATGCCCAAAGTACTTCCCAGATGAGGATATGAGGCGAGGCTCTATTTTAGTTTCATAACGCCTAGGCCCTATAGAAACTTCATCCAATAAATAATCCACACACCTTGCATTGAAAATATTACAGTTATGCCCTCTGCCCCCATTTTTATAACAGAAAAGTTTATATTGAGTCGAGGCTCTAAACAATCAAATAGAGCCTACCAAAAAATTCACTAAAAGATGCTGTTTTGATGCCCAAATGTCCTCAAATTGATCATCTCGACATCAAGATATATGGACTTGAGAAAAAAATAGATTTCAAGTTTTAGAAATGGTGCATCTTGTAGCGCATTTTTGGACAGTCAATTTTCAAGATTTTCAAAATTTTCAAGTCTTCATAGATATGCTTGATCTACACTATTTTTTAAGCTTTAAATTTTATAATTAAAGATGAACGTATATTTTAATACGCAGATTTTCAATATTGAAACCACATTTCTCGATAATATTTGAAGGTGTGTTTTATTTTGATTGTTTAGAGCCTCGACATGAGACAAACCACACCCTTTTTATAAAGCTTCTTATTTGAAGGAAGAAACAATGCCTTTTTTATGGGGTGTGGTAATGTATAAGACTAAGGCCGAAACATATTATTTCATCATAGAAATTTTTGTGATGGTTTGAAAATTTATTTTATTTTTATCTATAATTATAAAATTTAAGGATCAAAATTAGTTTAGATCGAGCAGATCTATGAATAGTTGAAAATCTTTAAAATTGACGGTCAAGATAACATATTACAATGTGCATTATTTTAAGACTTAAATCTATTTTTTTTCATATCCCACATCTTGAGGTCAAGATGATCAAATTGTAGGTTTTCAGCATCAAAACAACCTCTTCTAGTGAATTTTTGAGGGGGCACTTAATTCGATTGTTTAGGGCCCCATTCTTTTATAATTTTTTTCCTTTTGAAAGATTAGGTTATAATTAGTTCCTAGTTCCGAGGGCATTATGGTCTTTTGTCAGAAAGGTTTTGATAAATTTTGATAACGGAGCATTTCAGTGAAATGTCCCTTGAGGGTAAAGTTCTAATAGTGCTATGTCTCTGCAAAGTTAGGAAAAATAAATCTTGAAAATGGGAAAGTTATTGCTATCTGGTGCAAAGTGGGGACTTTCCCTTATGCCCATGGAAACACTTGTTTAATTGAGTTATAAAAATAGGGAAAGATTTCTATACTTCCTCTACATCATACAAGATTCATGCTTTCCCTACCATCCAGCAGTCCAATTTTGATCAAGAGAGCCACTCACCAGTTGATCTTAGATCTGATGTCTCAAAGTATTTTATTTTTAGTTTTTTTTATACCAATTGTATGAATATGAAATTTAGTATGTGTCATATTCTCATTGGAACGCACCTATAAAAAATATTAAAAATATTTTTTCGACAAAATATAATGACCAAAATACCTCTTGAAATTTTCAGAGGTATTTTGATCATTTTATTTTTTTAAAAAATTTTTTTTTTTTAATATTTTCGCTATTGTAAGTTTAGTAGAGGATTGGACGTCCAAAATTAGTGTTAAACTAATTGATAGAAAAAAATTAAAAATAAAATAGCGCAGAGATGTGACATTGTGATTGGGGCAATCTTAGCCGTCCATTCAGAATGGACGGTTGGATAAAGGAAAGTATATAAGTTTTATGCTGTAGGGGAAGCATAGAAAGCTTGCCCATAAAAAAAACACCAATTAAAAAATTAAGATAGATGTTGAAATTTGCTGGGAAAAAATAAAGACACAAAAAAGTTGCTCTATTCTCTCTCTCTCACTCCATATAGAGAGAGAATGGAGATTGAGGATAAGTATATAATACGACCACTTTTATTTGGTACATGGAGGTGACAATTGATCTTTAACCTTTGGATATAAAATTGTGTGGCTACATACATTTAAGTTCAATTTTTTTTATGTGACAAGCCCAAGCTATCTGATTTCACATTGTATGATCATAAGTAATTATGACCTTCTTGTACTAAAAGTAAATGGTTTCATAACTTTTGGATTAGAAAGTGATTAACGGATAAGGACGTGATTAGTATGTGGGCTACGGATTCACATGTAGAAATGCAAGCCCCTTAATAATTTATTTTTGAAATAGAATTTGATCCTAATTTTTAGGAAATATATAATTTTTAACATGGAGATTATTAATCTATAAAAAGAAATACCTTTTAAAAACTATAAATGATATTTTTTTTTTGAGAAAATATTTGAACCATTGATTTTACTTTATTTTTAGAGGACTATTACTAAAGGGACCTGGTTTTGATGGACAGTAGAGACCTGGCCCGTATAGTAACAGGTGCGGGCTTAGCTGCACAAAACAATTTTGGGTGGGATAATGTGACTCACCACAACACGAATTAGACGGTGGGGGACTCTCTTCCCATCATTTGTTCAACCTATCGAATGGATGATGATGAGCCTCATGACCACGCCTTGCATATGGTCGTGAGGATTATCGAATACACATACTTCTTCTAGTTAAGCTAAAAAGTTCATTTTACAATTCAACTGTATAATTAAACACAACTTTATTCCACCAAAGTACCCCAAAACCAAAAACACGTGGCAGATTAGAATGTTTATGACAAGTAAAAGAAATGGTTTGGGATTTAAAGACCAGTAAACTGTGATGCTGAAAAGGAATTAGTTGTATCGGAATAAATTTTTTATTTTTTATTTTTTTGAAAATAATTAATAGTGAGTTTTCATTGATGGAATGAAAAGATCAGAACAACAAACAAAGAAAAAAAGGGAATTAGCTAAAGTTGTATTGGATTCTAAGTTGTCTAAATAAATTAGCTAAAGTTAGTAAGTATTTTATAACATATGCCTTTTCATAATAAAAGGTAACTAGAAGAGGCCTTTATGGAGGAGCTAGCAGCCTTATAAATAAGATTTACAGGTTCAAGGTACAAAGGGATTGTAAGAAGCTTCTAGGCTCTCCAATGCCAGCCCCTTTGGAGACCATAAAATCATTCCATCTCTTGACAAATTAGAGCCTTTACAAGGAAGAAGAGAAAGAAAGGAAAAGGGTTGATAGATGTAGAGTTTTCTCTCCTTTCTTTTGTCTTGGATATAGATATATGACAGACATGAAGGAGAAAAATTGGAAAGTACAATATGGATGGGGTTTCTATGAGTCAGCCGACTCATATGTACATATGCGGCTCCCTCTATAAGTCATTTAAATGTTTTTTTTTATAATTTTTTATTTTGTAGATTCATCATCTAGGCCTAGATTATCTTTAATTTGAAAAGAAAATTAAACTTCTAAAATTAAAAATATAATTTTTTAATATTTTATTTATGCACCATTCATATCTTTTTTATGGACAATGCACTTTAGATAACATCTTTAGGATGGACGTTTGTACGTCAGCAGACTCTTGCGCCCTTGACTCGTGAAGTAATTTTCCATACAATATAATCATAGGAAAACGGAAAAAGGGGACTTGAGAATTTTCATTTTTAGAATCCATACTAATCCCACTAAAAGGTTCCTATAAACACCACCTTTGATCCTTTGCCTATGAATGTTATGCTCCACTGAGCACAACAACCTGCTCTTCATGGATATATGCTCCTTTGAAAAGATACTACACCCTAATAATATAGTGAGTGAAGAAATTGTTTTTAGTTATTGGGAGAAATTGTTTTAGCAATTGGGAACCCTTTGTGGTTGGATGGTTAATGGGGGAAGACTAAACGTGTGAGCGTTGAAGAAAAGGGAGTTCTTTGATGGAAGTCAAAGGGTGGTTTTATTTGTTAGAGAAGGCATAATCACCAGTAAATAGAAATACTATGATATGTAGGGTTAAGATTGGCTAAAAAAAATAGAAGTCCCAATTTTTATTTAGAACTCTTGGTTATACATGTTAAGTTTAAGATATATGTGATATTTATGAAAAGTTTCCTATTTTTATTTGGGAGCGAGTTAAATTTACGAAACAGTAGAGAGAGTGAGAGTACTCAAATTATAGGCTCAAAAGCATTGCATATCCATACAGATTTGGCTTT